ATCATCATCATCATCATCATCATCATCATCAGCATCAATCATCATCATCATCATCACAGCAGCGCATCGACATCAGCGCATCATCATCATCAGCATCAGCATCAGCATCAGCATCATCATCAGCATCATCATCACCATCAGCATCAGCATCATCAGCAGCATCATCATCATCAGCATCAGCATCAGCATCAGCATCATCATCAGCATCATCATCACCATCATCATCATCCTCATCATCATAATCATCATCATCACCATCATCATCATCATCAGCATCATCATCAGCAGCATCATAATCAGCATCATCATCATCAGCAGCATCATCATCAGCATCATCATCAGCAGCAGCATCATCAGCATCAGCATCAGGATCAGCATCAGCATCATCATCACCATCATCATCATCGTCATCATCATCAACATCATCATCATTAGCATCATCATCATCATCCTCATCCTCATCCTCATCCTCGTCCTCGTCCTCGTCCTCCTCCTCCTCCTCATCATCATCATCATCATCATCATCAGCCTCTTCCTCCTCCTCCACGTCCTCCTCCTCCTCCTCATCCTCCTCCTCCTCCCCCTCCTCCTCCTTCTCCTCCTCCTCCTCCTCCTCCACGTCCTCCTCCTCCTCCTCCTCCTCCCTCCAACCGCGCGGACCTTCGAGTTTTTATATTTATGTCACTTCTTGTTCCCCTACACAAGGGCACCGATACCGCTACTCCCCGGACCCTCCCCTGTGTGCGCTCCGACCAGAATTCCGAGGCGAACCCAGCGGTGGCGACGAGGGCCTCCCCGGAGGCCACCCCAAAAAAGAAAACCGAGGAAGGGCAGCGGTATGGGTACCTCCGCTGGCTCTGACCATCAACGTACTGCTCTGATGAAGTACCAGGCCTTCGGACGAGACCGAAGGAGCAACACGCGGACGTGCTCCCCGCGGCAGCGAGTCACTGATGCCGTCTTCCCTCCGTCCGCCCAGCGACGTCTTGAAGCCTCCCTCGCGCGAGCCAAGACAAGAGGAGCGGCAGCATCTGCACCGGCAGCTGGCAAGGGGCGGGGCAATTCGCCAGCCCCACGGGCCAAAGGCGTGCTAAAATCTCAGGTAACAGCTTGAGAAGACTTCTAGTTCGCGCGCGCGCGTGGCTGCCTCTGGGGGGTCCCCGGGCGAAAAGAACCCCATGCCAATCCCGGGCGGCGCCTGGGCGGCCCCGTCACGGATGCCGGAGCTCCTGAGGCTGCCTTGAGGGTCTTCAAGAGCGTCTCAAGAGGCCCCCAAGGCGGTCTAAGAGGGGCCCAGAGTCACCAGAAGTCGTTCCAAGATGCCCAAGATAGTCCCCAGACGGATTCAACCGCCTCCAAGACGCCCGAAGATGCATCCAAGACCACTCCCAAGAAGCCCCCTAGAGACAAAAATCAACGATTTCCAATTGGTTTTCGACGCTCTGAGACGGCCCAAGAAACCTCTAAGATCGCTCCAGGACGACCCATTAAGCCTCCAAGAGAGCCCCAAAACGGCCCACGGGGACTCCAAGACGGCCCAAGTTTCTCCCAAGACGGCGCTGGAGAGCCCCAAGACACCTTCAGGAAGAACCCCTCGAGGGGGAGCCCCAACGAACACTTCGAGCGTTCGGCCTCAAAATCGCCCCCAGAGCCCCCACCCCAGGCCCCCGAAGAGCTCTCAATAGGCCTTGGGCCTCCAAATCGCCCCCCAGAGCCTCTCCCCCAGGCCTCCGAGGAGCTCCCAATAGGCCCCCCAAGACGCGCCCAGGAGGCCGCAAGAGGCCTCCAATAAAGCTCCTCAGAAGCTCCAAGAGCCCTTCGAGCCCTCGGCCCCAAGAGGCGTCCAGGCTGCCCCAAGCGGTCCCCAAGAGCCCCACTAAGAGGATCCAAGCGGCCCCCAAGAGGCGCCAAGAGAGCCTCAAGAAGCATCCAAGGCACCACCGAGAGGCCCCCAAGAGCCCCTAAAACTGCCACGCAGGAGCCCCCCAAGAATCCTCCGAAGAGACACCAAGAAGCATCCAAGAGAACTCTCACCCACAACCGCAGCAGTGCCGACCTGCAGCGCCGCATGGCCCACGAACGCTCACGCAAACGCCAACGATGGCGCAATACGGGCCAGCGGAATGAGCGAAGCGATTAAATACATAACCAAACAAAAAGGCAAAAAACAAAAAACGGCAGCTCCCCCCATTCTGGAGAAACCAAAAGATACCAATACCACCACTCCCCTGACCGCTCCCGGTGTGCATTCTGACTGGAATTTCGAGGCGAATCCAGCAGTGGCGACGAAGGCCTCCCAGGAGGCCCACAAGGGGCAAAACGGGCGAAGCGTGGCGGCATGGGTACCTACCTTTTCATCCACTGACTCTCGGTCCATGTACAGTCCGCCCTGGTGGTAGATCAGGGCATAGCGGACCACGTCCGACTTCGGCGCCTGGCCTGCAAGCAGCAGCAGCAGCAGGCGACGCCGTGAGCAGCACGCAGCACGCTTCGAGCGACCCGGCGCTCCTCTGATCCGCCAACTTCAACTTCCTCCACTGATGCCTCCGCTACCCCCCCTCTGCAGCCCCCTCCTCTCCCCATCCGCTGCTCTGCCGAAGACGCCCGCCCCTCATCGCCTCGCCTCCACGCGCCTCACCTCCCAATACCACCCCTGCCGTGCCGCCTTCTCCCTCCCTCCGCTTCTCGTTCCCACCGCCCTTCTCCTATCCCCGCCTCCTTGCCGACTCACCCCCGACGCCCTGCTCCGCGGCGAACTCCCCCTCCCAAGGCCAGCACCGCCTGGAAGGCGGAAGTACTCGTCGGGGACGTCCGGCACGTACTGCCTCGGGAGCGTTGCGCTGGCTGTCCAGTGCTCGGCACGGAACGGGAGGCGAGCGCTCCGGACAAGTACGGCAGGTTCGCGTCGTGCCGACGTCGGCGTTGGTCTCCAGTGAGAAGTAGGAATCCCGTTCGAAACCCCAGGACGACTCGAATCGAAATCGGAAGCCATCGAAATCGAATCGAATCAAATCGGAGTCGAGATGAGGCCTGACGGGAGGGGGACCCAGGTCACCTATACCGCGGGGATCGTTCAATTTTGAACGACGGGCCGTTTCCGAATCGTCAGATCGTTCAACATCGACCGATTCTGGGTCGCCGGCGGCGCTCAACGTGCAACGCCGTCGGCGGGGTCGCCACTGGTCGACGCGGCGCGACCCTGCCGCACGGCAGCGGGGAGGACGGCAGAAGAGCGCATCGGCGGTGGGCCCCGGGGGGAAGCGAGAGGGGACTTCTCGGAGGCCCCGGCGCCGTCCGAGGAGCCGTCTGCGTCTTCGGAGGAGGCGCACAGCAGAAGACTTCCCATAGCGCGCGAGGGCTTCTGAGAAGCCCCGCCGCCGTCTGAGAAGGCCTGCCCACGCTCACTCCCCCCCCCCCCCGGGGCTCGCCGCCGAGAGCAGGGAGGACGGGAGGAGAAGGAAGCGACGCAAGAGAAAGCACAAGCGCTGACATTAGGTCGGGCATGTCCTCCTGCAGGCGGATGTTGGACGACAAAAAACAATATACCCAAAATGTTCGACATACTTATATAAAGCATGCTCTGTTAATGAAAACATGCAAACAAACATCGTCCCATTGGATTGTTTGACAATTTGAACATTCCTCCTGTAGAGGGACGTGCCCGACTCGAGGCTAGCACCGGTACCGCCGACACCACATTCACCACCAGCGTCACGACTGCCAACGCCACGGAAACGGAGAGCTCAAACGCACGAACTCACAAGGAGGTGTGCGCATTGTCCTGTTCGACCAGAAGAAAGCTAAGGAGAGCATGCCCAAGAAAATGCGCAATCGAAAACTGGGGAGGTGCTAAGTGGAAGCGGCATCGAACGGAGAAGCATGGAAGAGGCGGCAAACAGCAGCCGCACCCGATTGAGAAGAGGCCAGGCCGCGTCATCGTGAGGATAGAAACAGTCACTGCGCAGAGCGGCCGCAGGGGGTGGCAGCCTCACGTTGCTGTCGTTGACCTGCCCACACGCGGTCTACACGCTGCCACCACACTCTGACTGATGGCGGCGAGCTTCGCCAGACGAGTGAGCAGAGGGGACAAACACATGCCAACTGCGTCGCCCAGCACTTCCCGCCGCATATGTTGCAACTAGGGTCCTGGTGCACACGAGGCCACGCTCAGGCGCTCCTGTTTGACGATTTCTTACCTGGAGGTCTGGCTACCTTCACCATTCGGTCCCAAATGTCTGGAACCACTGAACTGCCATCAGCTCCACGACCTACGATGTCGCACTTCATGAAACGGGCACGATGCCTTCACGTCCAACTTCGCAGCTTGTCGAACTGACCTTCCCTCATCCCACTTCCTCCATCATCCGCTCTTCCCCTCCTCGTCCTTCTCCTCACTTCTCCCTCCTCTCCACCTCATCCTCATTCGTGAACTACCGAAATGTCGCGGCATGAGCGCGACCCAGCATACCCAAGGCGACGGCGGAGGAGAGGGGGAGGAGAGAGGAGGAGAGGAGGTGAGTAGGAGGAGGACGAGGAGGAAGAGGAGGAAAAAGAGGAGGAGGTGGTGGAAGAGGAGAAGGAGAAGGAAGAGGAGGAGAGAAGGAGGAGAGGAGGAGGATGAGGAGGAGGCGGAGGAGGAGGATGAGGAGCAGGAGGAGGAGAGGGGAGAGAGAAGGAGTGTTAGCCGAACGCGGTGCCCGTCTCCTTCCCGGGCTGTGAAGAAGGCCCGCCGGGCCGCCAACGGCCTCGCGACGACGCCGGAGCCTATCAGGCCCTGGCGTCTTCGAACGCCCGATGTCGCGATTTGAAACTTTGGCGCGGCCTCCTCCTCCTGCTCCTCCTCCGCCTCCTCCTCCTCCTCCCTCCTCCTCCTCCCCCTCCTCCTCCTCCGCTCCTCCTCCGCCTCCTCCGCCTCCTCCTCCTCCGCCTCCTCCTCGTCCTCCGCCTCCTCCCCCTCCGCCTCCTCCTCCCCCTCCCCCTCCTCCTCTCCCTCCTCCTCCTCCTCCTCCTCCTCCTCCTTCTCCTCCTGCTCCCCCTCCCTCCCTCCTCCTCCTCCTCTCCTCCCCCTCCCCCTCCCCCTCCTCCTCTCACCTCTTTGCTCCCTCCTCCCTCCTCCCTCCTCTCTCCTCCGCCTTCTCCTCATGCTCCTCGTACACGGGCCTCCCAAGTGGGGTCCGAGTAAGCGGGGACGGAGGATCGCGCCGACTCGCCGGGGCTCCACATCGAGCCGCACCGCCCATGATTCGACGATGCGCCCTTGTTTCATCGTACAGCTGCATCCCCTCTGTGGACCAAAATCAGCTCGCATCTGCTGGACGAGTGCATCACCCAAGACTCGAAGTTCAGCCTGCCCCTGAAGCCCCCAGCACAGAGCGCACGGATGGCCGAGAAAGGGAGCCAAAGCAGCAGCAGCAGCAGCAGCAGCAGCAGCAGCAGCAGCAAGACAGACAGACGTACGTGAGAAAGATCGGGTGCCCTGCAGACACGAAGCTAGCAAGTGGGCTGACAACCTCCAGCCAGCCGACGTCAGAAGCCATCTCGACCTGATCCGCGGATTGTCCCAGCTGATTGTCAAGCACGTTCCCTCGTTACCGATGCCACTGTTGCTATTGAGGCTGCGCTCCCCGGTTGCCGACCCGTTGTCCTTCCTCGTATTCCTGAGCATCCTTCGTCGTACTCGCTTCTTACTTGCCTGTTCGTAGGGCTTGTCTTTTCTCATGCGCGTTGTCTGATGTGCAAGAGGCTGTTCATTGGGATTGTCGGCATCAATGGCTGGCAATCGAACCACACGAAGGTCATCTGAAAACATAGACGTCGAATCATGCATCAAAGACTGGCCTGGGACTTCACCCAACAACAGAGGACAAGAGAGCAATGACAAACCAAGCCCGACCGACGTGGAGAGCTGCACACAGCTCCCGATGGGGCTCACGAAAAAACTATGAGACAACTGAGTCGCGGCTGCCCAAACTGCTGCGACGCCTCGTCACAGCAGCTCAAACTGTTCAAGAGTCCCGCGGCCCCACCAGAGCAGAGAGGCGCTGAATCGGCCTCGGCTTCGTGAGGCTCGCGCGAGGCACCATACATACCACAACCACGGACATCACATCCACGAACGTGCAAAACACCGACAGCTAGGCTGCGACAGGAGTGTGTCGAGTGAAAGGCACAAATGACGGGTCTGGGCTGCATTGGTAAAGCTTTTCGCCAGCACGTCGCAAGACACTACTGAAACGGAGGGCGCTGTAATCTCACCAGCGGGTTACCAATGGATGTGCGACTCGAAGATGGGCTATCACGCTCCCCCTCCCACCTCTCTCCTCCCTTATCAGTCCTACCCAAACAAGCCTTCCTCCTCCTTCCTCCTCCTCCTCCTCCTCCACCTCCTCCTCCTCCTCCACCTCCTCCTCCTCATCCTCATCCTCATCCTCTCCCTCGTGCCCTACCTAACGGGTTCGGAGACAAAGAGAGGGTGCTTAGGCCACCTGCAAGAATCCATACGGTATATACAAGCAGCTGTCCCTCTAACCCGCCTGATGTAGAAAGGCGGACCTTTCTGGTACTCCAAGAGAGTGAAGATGTAACAAGCCTGCAATGCTGGGAAAAACTTGGTGACCAAAAGACGCAGGCATTACAGGAAGACTGAAGGTATGGAAAAGAGTTGCAACTGGCACAGTCCTTAATCTTCTGCTAAAATACGTAACACGTAAACACTGATTCCGCCACCGCGTCGGAGCTCCAGAAGATCTCGAAATGCATGCGCAGCTTTAGAAGAACCTACTCGAGAACTCACGTCACGCTGAACCAAGACGCGCAATGAAGCTGGGGTTGGAAGCAGCTGGCAGGTCTGTGCTGGATAAGCCCCGAGAAGATGCGTCAAGGAGGGTCGGGAGCGGCCAAGAGGGCGGTGTCCAAGAGGGGGGGGTGCAAATCATGACCGGCGGCATGTGCGCCGCCCAGCGGGGGGGCCAGGGACGCAATGAAATAAGAAGAGGCGCCATGAAATCTGCGGAAATATCATGACCCCCGCCATGATATCCACCCCCCCCTAGTCATCACCCCCCTCTTTTCCGCCCCCGAGAGGGGGGGACGAAGCCAAATCCTCTCAAAAATCCGAGCCCCCTCCCGGGGTAAAACTGACAAGTGTCTCAAGCCACATCCAGCCGAGGCGACGAGGGCCCCCGTCCTGCCCCCTTTCTGCTGGCCGGAACGAGTGCCCGGCCAGCTCAGCCTCCCAGCCAGCTCCAAAGCGAGGGCCACACCGCCCCTCCTGACATCGCCTCGGCTGCAGGAATACCCGCTACCTTCGGGGAATCCGACAGCAAATCTGAAACTGGCCCTGTCGTTCGCCGTAGGAGGTCCTCGCGAACTCGCAAAAGCTTCAGATGCCCCCAAGAAGCTCCCAGATGCTCCCAGGAGGTATCAACTCTCGACGTCCTCTCGAGAAGCCCCGAGAGTCCTCCTCCTCCTCCTCCTCCTCCTCCTCCTCCTCCTCCTCCTCCTCCTCCGCCTCCGCCTCCGCCTCCGCCTCCGCCTCCGCCTCCGCCTCCGCCTCCGCCTCCGCCTCCGCCTCCCTCCCTCCTCCTCCTCCCTCCTCCTCCTCCTCCTCCCTCCTCTCCTCCTCCCTCCTCCTCCTCCTCCGCCTCCGCCTCCTCCTCCTCCTCCTCCTCCTCCTCCTCCTCCTCCTCCTCCTCCTCCTCCTCCTCCTCCTCCTCCTCCTCCTCCTCCTCCTCCTCCTCCTCCTCCTCCTCCTCCTCCTCCTCCTCCTCCTCCTCCTCCTCGGGGTCACTCTTGCTGCAGCCGCCGACGCAGCGGCGGCGGCGCCCCGGATCTGCCTCCTCGCGCGGCCCCGCGGCAGCCGGCGGCTCTGCGGGCTCCGCGGCCCCCTCCGGAGGTGCAGCAGCCACAGCTGGCCCGCGGCCCTCGGCCTGGCCGCCCAGGGCCGCCAGCCGGCCTGGCAGCGGGGCCGCGCCCGCGCGAGGACGCTCTCGACTGTTCCGCACCCGGCGGTGGTTCTTCGGCCTCCGGGGTCCGTCATTCGGGCGAGTGGTCCTGGGGGGGTGGCCTGCACGGGGGGGTGAAGGAAAAAGGCCTCGAGAGGCCCTTTGGGGCCAATCCTTCTCGAGCCAGCATGGGGCCCAAGAGGGGCCCGAGAGGGCCCCATTTGGGACCCTTGTCTTCACAGCCCGCTTGCGTCACCCCCCATTACCACCCTCCCGAGTCATCGGGCCCTGGGCCATCAAGAACAGATCCGACGCGACAAACTGGCACGTAAAGGGGTCGGGGCCCCTGAGGCCGCGCATGCAAAAATCAGATCAGTCCACGGATCGGGAAGGGTACCCCTGGAACATGAGGCCAGGGCCATGTTGTTCACATCGTACCGAAAGACCACATCCCAGAAATAAGTTCGAGCATGCAAAAAAGTGTCGAAACGGTGTCTGCGGCCGACACTCTAGCGAAGTGTCGAACGAGTATCGCCCCCCAGGACCCGACGCGTGAAATCCCTTCCATTGGGGGTACTCTCCTGGTGCTCAGCATTCTTCCTGGTGATCCAGGCTGAATCAGGCTGGAACATCCTGAGGCTAGGGCAGCCTGATTTGGAGACGGAGCGCGCCAGTTCCGCACGGAAACGGGACCCGACACGTGAAATCCCTTCAATTGGGGTACCTTCCTGGTGCTCAACATTCTTCCTGGTGATCCATGGCTGAAGCAGGCTGGAAGGTCATGAGGCCAGGGCAGCCTGGCTTGGAGACGGGGCGCGCCAGCTCCGCACGGAAGCGGGACCCGCCGCGGATCCACGCGCCCGAATCCATGTGTTGCGCTCGAGGAGCCTCGCACGCCCTCCCCCTAGGGGGGGAGGAGGAGGAGGAGGAGGAGGAGGAGGAGGAGGAGGAGGAGGAGAAGGAGGAGGGGCAGGAGAAGGAGGAGGAGGAGGAGGAGGCGGACTGCTCGCCTCGTGCACTCCCCCGTTCCCCCCCCGCGCTCGCACGGCACCTGCCGTCCTCCACGGGGATACCGAACTCCGGGCGGGGGTGCACACTCCTCCCCAGACCCGCGCGCGATTGCTGTCACAACGTCGACTGCCTAGGATTAGGTCGGGCATGTCCTCCTGCACGCAGAGTTTGGAGTCAAAAACACTCGGAAATAGCCACAGAATAGTTCCCATACTATGTTTTGACTATTTCTGAATACTCCCCCTGTAGAGGGACAGGCCCGACTTAAGCCTGGGGTCTCGGCCCATTCCCTGGACCAGCTTGTCATCCAGAGTCGGGCTTCACGGTCCTGGGGCCCAGCGAAGGCCCCCAGGGGGGCGAAAACGGCCACCTCCCCTCTCAAGTGTCTTCACGGCGCGAGCATGCCTGGGCACCTTCCTCCATACGCCCTCCTCCTCCTCCTCCTCCTCCTCCTCCTCCTCCTCCTCCTCCGTGTTGCTTTGCACGGCCGTAAGCAGCAGAGCTGGGGCGCCAATGCGACGACAATGTGAGAGCGATTTAGGCGATGTGACGTATGCAAAAGACCTTGGTGAGCTCAAGAGTGGCAATAGAAGGGTCAGACAAGTGTAGTAGCCCCCGAGGGCGGCATAGCATGAGCGCTCACCAGGTCGAAAGAGCATACATCGAACGAAGACAAATGCTGTACCTCCTGCTCCTTCTTTTCCTCCTCGCCCTAGGGCAACGACAGGGGGGGCTGGCATAGGGGGTGAAACATCGACCTGGAATTGGCGATACATCACCGATAGGTCAGGAATAGGCCCCCGGAAGGTCCATCCACACGTTCCTGCGCGGGGTGGGGCCATCGGGCCCCTGCAAGCAAGCAAGCAAGAAGGCCATGCATCCTGAAGGACGCGTGGGCTGGCAAGGACACTCATAGTTCCTGCCGTGATTCGCTGCGACAGACAATGGGCGCCAGCGCGGATTGGACTAAACAGCCCGAGAGGAGGAGGAGCAGGAGGAGGAGGAGGAGGAGGGGAGGGAGGAGGAGGAGCAGGAGCAGGAGGAGGAGGAGGAGGAGGACGAGGAGGAGGAGGAGGAGGAGGAGGACGACGAGGAGGAGGAGGAGGAGGAGGAGGAGGAGGAGGGGGGGGAGGAGGGGACGATCAATGGACGATTGGGGGTCGATGCATCCCCCTCTGAGCCTGCTCCCCCCTCACGTTGCGCAGTGGCTTTCGGGTCATAGCTCGGCCATCCCGCGGCCGTTCGGGGCGCTCCGGGCACCCCCGGACGGGAGGAGGAAGAGGAGGAGGAGGAGGAGAAGGAGGAGGAGGAGAAGGAGGAGCAGGAGCAGGAGGAGAAGGAGGAGGAGTAGGAGGAGCAGGAGCACAAGGAGGAGGAGGAGGAGCAGGAGCAGGAGCAGGAGGAGGAGGAGAACGCCCTCGGCGAGGCGCAGCTGCTGGAGAGTACCCCAAGGCCCGAAAACCGCCGACAGGCCTGCCAGGCCAGCCAGGGCCGGCTGCCCGAGCAACACGTAGGCGCCGCCGAGCCCCAGGAAGGACGCCGTCAACCTCTCGCCGGCGGGCCAGCCAGAGCCCTCTCCTCGTCGCCTTCCACTGCTGCTCCTCCTCCTCCTCGTCCTCCTCGTCCTCCTCCTCCTCCTTCTCCTCCTCCTCCTCCTCCTCCGCCTCCTCCTTCGCCTCCGCCTCCGCCTCCGACTCCGCCTCCTCCTCCTCCTCCTCCTCCCTCCTCCTCCTCCTCCTCCTCCTCCTCCTCCTCCTCCTCCTCCTCCTAATCCTCCTCCTCGCCCTCCTTCCTCCTTCGCGTTCCCTGTCGCTTGGAGCCGTCTGGAGCTGGCTGGCAGGAAGGGCGGGCAGGGTGGAGGCTCTGGTGGAGGCTCTGAGTTCGGGAAGGGGTTTATGCTGGGCCTGTTTCGGCCTCTAGGGGCCCCCAGAGGACTGGGGACTGATTTTGAGCGGAGTTGCCATTCTCCCTCCTTCATTACCGATTATCCTGGTGCACATCCGATTCAAACCCCCGGCCGCGAAGGCATACCACGATCGTGATCAATTCGTTTGCTGGTTCCTTTCCCGTCTTTCCGCAATCCCTGGCGGCAGAGCGCCGCCGGGAGGGGAAGGGCAGCGTCGTGATACAACCCCGTGCCCGCAGCGACTGGCGACAATGAGGAGGAGGAGGAGGAGGAGGAGGAGGAGGAGACAAAGGAGGAGGAGGAGGAGGAGGAGGAGGAGGAGGAAGCCACCTCGTCTCCCCTCCTAACTCCCTCCTCCTCCTCCCCCATCCCCCCATCCACGTTCCCCCACCCCCTTCTGCTACGCAAGGCATCCTCCGATGTGATCGTTTCAATCTGCAGCCGCGCCCACCCGCAGCTGCGATACAGTCACCGCGCAGCCACAGGGAACGCCGACTCGGGCGCTCGCTGGGGCTTGTTCTGGCCGCAGCGAGGCTCGGCCAAGGACAGGCTCCACAAGCCAGGTCTAAGGAACGGCCCAAGAGCACGCTGATGCTACCGCTGCTGCCGCTAGCGAGCCTCCATTAAGCGAGCCCCGTCACGTAGCCCCCACCATTCGAGCCCTGGTGGTGAGCATTTTTCAACTGACCCCCATCCCCAAGGGCGGGGCCTAGGCCCCACTGGCCGACTCACCCCCCTAAATGAAGATATAGAGGTTGTTTCCTTCGGTTTCGATAAGTACATCCCCCACTGGGACTTCTGAGATGGTGGGGGCCTGGATAGGGATGGGGATGGGAATGGGGATAGGGGTCGGTTAAACGATACTGAGGTAGCGCTGACCCCTGTCCACGTTAGAGGCTTCCTGGATGGATTCGGAGTACATAGGGGTCGGAGGATCGCGCCGCATCGGCGACGCATCGGGGATGCGCCAGCGATGCATCGCCAACGTCGGCAATGCATCGGCGATGTCGACGTGAAGCAAAACGGGCTCCGCATTGAGCCGCATCGGCGATGCATCGGCAATGCATCGGCCATTCGGCGCGATCCTCGGACCCCATCTACTCCGACCCCATCCAGGAGGGCTAGACACGCTGACTCGGACGGGACCAGGACGAGGATAAATCCATTCGTTCCAGAACGCTCTCAGAGCGTTCCAGAACGCTCTGAGAAGGCCGCGGCGCCCGAGACATCCTCCAGAGCCGCCAGATCTCAGACATTCTCGATTGTTCCTCACACGATGTTATCATCGTCCTGGCTTCATCATACTGACCTCCACTGCGTGAGATCTCCGCTGCTGACGATCCCTCGCAGGAGCACGGCTCTCCCTGCCCACCCCGACGGAGCGCGGAGCGTGTTAAGGGAGAGGATGAGGAGGAGGAAGAAGAGGAGGGGGAGCAGGAGGGGGAGGAGGAGGAGGAGGAGGAGGAGGAGAAGGAGGAGGAGGAGGAGGAGGCGGAGAAGGAGGAGGAAGGAGGAGGAGAAGAAGAGGAGGAGGAGGAGGAGGAGGGGGAGGAGAAGGAGAAGGAGAAGGAGGAGGAGAGAAAAGGGAGGAAAGAGGAGGAGGACGAGGAGGAGGGGAAGAGGAGGGGAAAGAGGAGGAGGAGGAGGCGGAGAAGGACGGAGAGCCAGAGCGCGGAGGGGGGCGCCCTGCGGGGGCGGGGAGCAGCCTCACGGCTGGCCAAGCGTCGCAGCAGGCGGCGCGCCCCTGCCGTTCCCGCACGCCCTTCTCTCCAGACTTCTGCAGACTGTTCCTGCTCCTCCTCCTCCTCTTCCTCCTCTACTCTCCCTCCTCTCTCCTCCCCTCCTCTCCTCCTCCTCCTCCTCCTCCTCCCTCCTACCTCCTCCTCTCATTCCTCCTCCTCCTCCTCCTCCGCCTCCTCCTCCTCCTCCGCCCCCCTCCTCCAATTCCGTCTCTGCGCCTCTCCCCGTCCTCCCTGCTGCTCCTGTTCACCCCTTCCCCCCTCCTCCCTCCTCTGCACCCCTCCTGCGTCTCTCACCTCCTGCTCTGCGTCTCTCCCCCTCTTGCTCCTCATCCCGCCTCTTCCTCCTCCTCCTCCTCCTCCTCCTCCCTCCTCTCCGCCTCGCCTCCGCCTCCTGACTCTCCTCCTCCTCCTCCCTCCTTCCCTCCTCCTCATCCTCCCCTCCTCCTCCTCCCTCCTCTCCTCATCATTCATCATCCTCATCACCATCATCATCATCATCATAATCATCATATCATCATCATCATCATCATCATCATCATCATCATCATCATCATCATCATCATCATCATCATCACATCATCATCATCATCATCATCATCATCATCATCATCATAGTCATCATCAGCATCATAGTCATCATCATCAGCATCATCATCATCATCATCAGCATCATCATCATCATCATCATCATCATCATCAATCATCATCATCATCATCATCATCATCATCATCATCATCATCATCATCACATTCATCATAATCATCTCATCATCATCATCATCATCATCATCATCAATCATCATCATCATCATCATCATCATCATCATCATCATCATCATCATCATCATCATCATTCATCAATCATCATCATCATCATTCATTCATCATCATCATCATTCATCAGCATCATCATCATCATCATCATCATCATCATCATCATCATCATCATCATCATGCATCATCATCATCATCATCATCATCATCATCATCATCATCATCATCATCATCATCATCATCATCATCAGTCACCCATCATCATCATCATCATCAGCATCACCATCATCATCAGATTCATCATCATCATCATCATCATCATCATCATCATCATAGTCATCATCATCAACAACAACATCATAATCATCATCATCAGCATCATCATCAGCATCATCATCATCACCACCATCATCATCATCATCATCATCATCATCATCATCATAGTCATCATCATCAGCATCAGCATCATCATCATCATCATCATCAGCAGCAGCAACATCATCACCATCATCAGCATCATCATCATCGTCATCGTCATCGTCATCATCATCATCATCAGCATCATCATCATCATCAGCAGCATCATCAGCAGCATCATCATCAGCATCATCATCAGCATCATCATCAGCATCATCATCAAAATCATCATCATCATCAGCATCATCATCATCATCATCATCATCATCATCATCATCATCTTCATCATCATCATCATCATCATCATTCTCCTCCTTTTCCTCCTCTTTCTCCTCCTCCTCCTCCTCATCATCCTCCTCCTCGTCCTCCTCCGCTTCCTCGCCTTGGCCAGGGGTCACACTAAACGTGCGCTCGCCCAGCAAGATCGTTTGGCTCAGTGGCTGGCCGCACGACGGACACGACGAGCCACATCGGCCGAAATGGGGAAAGGTTCAGGATGACAACGGATAACAGATGAGCGTGACTGTGCAAAAAAACCGCTATCGCTGAGAGGGAGAAAACGGAAGGGGAGAAAACATCAGGATCAGTCAGCATCGAATCGGATAATCGGATCGAATCAGAGTGTGCGTCGGATCGGTCTGCATTGGCACGGAGTCGAGATCGAACTGGACCGGCCGCGTCAGGATGCACAACATCGCCAAGCAGGCATCGTGCCGCACAGGGTCGCCAGAACATCAGAGTCGAGCAATTTCGAGCCAGCGAACACCGACATCCAATCAGATCGGCCGTAGCCCAAAATTGGGGGATACAAATTACCGAAGCCGTCACTCCCCAGACCTCCTGGGGTACGTAAATGTGCCGAGGGACAGAACAATAGATATTGCTCCACAACCCTTCGGAACAGTTCGCGGAAGGGCGGAAAGCCGGCAGGCAACGTAAATGGAAAAAGGCGGAGCGGAGAACAATCGTGGCCCTCCTAAGCATAGGCCCTTACCTACTTTGAGAAATGGGCCTTCCAGAGGGTGAATTCTTAAGTCCGTCAGGGGCTCACTTTTCACATCTCGCAAACGAGGCAGCGACAGCCTGCCAGCACGTTCTTTGAACACGGCAACCGTGGTCTCGAGACCCTCGAATGTCAAACTCTGGCCAGCTGAAACTCTCGAGTTTCGCACTCGAGAAACGAAAAACCAAGCGGCCAGCTCCCATATCCCATAATCATGGTTCGGCGAGGGGGGCGAAGCAGGGACAGGGCAGGGAGGGCACGAGTTTTCAGAAGCGGAGAAGCTTTTTGAGCAAGGAAGTGGAGACTGATCTGTACTTCTGCAGCTGGGCGGGAGTCACCTTGCCAATCTGTCGCATCAGACGGCATTGTTTCATAAAACGAAGGACGCTCCATCTGGCCTTCCAGCGCCCACGCGACTAGATCTGATCTTCAGCGCGAAGGCCGAGCGCTGCATCGGTGGAGGGTCCGCCGCGACGCACCACGCGCGGCGCGAGGCAGAGGGCGCCAAGGCTGCAGGCCTCGAAGGCGGCCATGCAGCGGCGCTCGTACTCCGCCACGGTCAGGCCGAACAAGGGCGCGGAGCTGCCTCGCTTCGCTGCCTTAAGCTTGGCGAGAAGGCCAGCCACCTGATCGCCGCCGACCTCCTTGGAGGCAGCACCCGTGAAGACCACAGTGTCGTCCTGCTCCACTGCCATGGTTATGGGCCGCCGCGAAGCCCCACCATCGTCGCCCTCCGAGGACTGCGCTATCATGATAGCGGCAGCAGGGTAGCCGGCGCCTCGAAGGCTTGAAGGAGCCACTTTGATATCGTTTGCGGTGGTCTGGTACACCTCGCCTGGTCACAAGTACCCGTCGAACTGGGTGACCAGGGCCTGGGATGCGCTGAGATTGGCCTTGTTGCCCATGTCGCAGAGCCAGTCGCAGGCAAGAAACAGAGCCTGCTGTGGCATGGGGTCTCGTGAGACGCCCCCCCACGCGCATCTGCCAGCCTCGCAGCGCGGCGCGGGCGAGCGGCAGCACAGTCGGGCCCTTCAGCTTGCTGCGCTGCACGTACGCCGAGCGTCGAAGATGCTTCTGCCGTCGAACCACACGTGATCCAGGTAGACCTCCAGGCTGCTGTCGACTGCGGCTCCTGCAAGGATGCTCAGCCCGTGCTCGCACGCGAAGCCCTTGAACTTCTCGCAGGCGCCCCGATAGCGAGTCTGCGTCGCGGGCGGCACCGACTGCGCTCGAAGGTATTCCGCGGGGCGCGGGCCGTCTCCGGCAGCAACAGATCATCGATGTCGGCAACGATGATGGTAGGCTTGACGTAAGTGCAACCATATGCGCAGCGATCGTAGCGAACGGCGACGTGATGCTGTTGCGAAAGAAAATGCTGTAAAGGCCCCCACTTCCAGATCCGAGAGGAGGCAGGGTTCTCGAGCGACCAACGTACATTATGGCGACCGCAAAGATGCAGAAATGTTCATGTCCGGGTAGCACATAGCTGATCGGTTCGAGCGTGATTTCCTCGAGAGTTGACCGACATGAACGTACCAAATCCTCTTGTTGTCAAGCCGTCTTTTCAACACGGCGAAGACACGGCCATCCAAGACGTCCATGCGAGGCCCTCGGTCGCCGTTAACCGGAGCGGTGATATGAAACCCCGCACTGAGGCTGGCAGCGGACAAGCGGCCACAGCCAGCGAACATCTCTAGCATGGCCCGCTGCGAAGCCGGGTGATGCAGAGGAGAAGCAGGGCTGGGATTTGGACTCTGGAAGCCCTCATGTGATTGGGAGACAGGAGGGGCGTAGCGGCTTATGTCTAGCGGCGGCCAGCCTCATATAGCAGTGCTCACGGGTCAGGCTGGAAGCCGGCCCCAGGGGCGGCGCCACACTGCGCCGGTGCTGCCGCGGGCGCCCGAGCTCAGCTGCCTCGGAGCCGCGCACGAGCGTCGCCGCTGCAGCGGCTGGAGGAGCAGCAGCCAGCGCCTGGTTGCCCTCCACGATCTTCTCGAGGTCGCCGTCGTGCCCTCGCCGAACGGCGCCAGGCTGAAGCAGGCCGGCGTCGGCCAGGCGGCTGTCAGCGCCTGTAGGATTACATGCCAACTCTGCAGGGTGCTGCCGCCAGGAGATCTCGCACGCGAGCTGGCACGAGGCCAGACGCGGCAGTTCCGCCTCAGGGCCTACGACTTGGCGCGGCCCTTCTCGAAGCTGAGCACAGCCCCCACGTTGCCCTCCATCGATAACACCTTCCTGCCGCAGAAGCTGGGGTCGCGGCCGGCGAAGCGCCAGCCGAGAACCTGGACGCCAGACTCCTCCCCATGAATGGCAGCGTCGGATTGCCAACCTCTGCAGACGACCCTGCGCCACCGGTCGGCGGCGAGGAGCTCATCCCCCAGCGGGGGGATGGCGCCGGGCCCGTGGCCCAGGCAGACCCGGGCGGCGGACGGCCTCCAGGGCGCCACGCCCCTGTCGCGCCCAGGTGGGGGGGGCCATGTCCAGGTCGTCTGCGAGACGGCACACCGCTGAGGGCCAGTCGACGGAGGTCATGGGGACCTCGGAGCCATCGCGATGTCCGCAGCTGAAGTCGACCTCGCTGAACCTCCAGCGCTCCTTGTAGCGAGCGGCGCGGACGACTTCGTCAGGCTCGACGGCCGCGAGGTGCAGCGCGTAGCCCAGCACGGAAAGGTCCGACGCGCGAAGGCCACCCTGCTCCACGGCGCGCCCAGGTCGGCCAGACACAAGAAGACGAGCCCCTTGATGGCGCGGAGCTCGGTTGTCAGGGCAGCTGAGAATCGGCCAGTCCTCGGCCCAAAGTCCACGATGAAGCTGTAGACGTGATCCTACGTGGCCAGAGCGCAGCGGGCCAGCATGAAGTGGTTCACCACGTGCCCTGCGACGCGCCAAATAGCGTGGCCAGAAGCCACCCCGCGCCTGATGAGGCGCTCCAGCGCTAGGTAGAGGCGAAAGGCCCGCTGCTTACAATGGCGGACAACGCGCTGACTGTCACTGAAGTCTACCTCAATCTCGACAGTCTCAGCGACGTTGGTAGGCTCGACCACGCCATGGTAGGCGAGGTGCCGATCACGAAGAGCATCCATCGAAGCGGCCCGCCAAGCACCAGCAGCTGCAGGCGCCGAGCCACTCAAGGCCCCGTCGTCGAAATAGGGGGCGACGAGCGGGCGGTCAAAGGCCAGCGCCGGCCGCGGGCGTCCTTCGCGAAGCAGGCGCGGACCAGCGCCAGGTCCGACAGCATCCTTCAAGGCGCTGGTGAGCACCTACTGGCAGAAGCACAAGCTCCAGGACCAGCCCATGGGCAGCCCACAGAACACAGGGCACACGCGCGAGTCGCCGCTCACGGGCTCGAAGGACTGCGAGTGTCTCGTCGCGCACGTGGGCGCAGACGCATCAGGTCGCCCCCTTTAAGGAAGTCGAAGCCGAAGTTCGAAGCCAGGTCCTGGTACACGAACTGGTAAAACCCACCCTTCAGGTCCACCCCGCTGATCCACAGGTCAATCCACGAAAGGTCGACGCCATCGGAGACCAGGGCGTCGTCGGACAGGCCCAGGAAGCTGAGAGCAGCAGCGGAACCCAGCTCGACGCGGGGCGGCCGTTGATGGAAGGCACTGGACTCGCGGCCATCGATCACGAGGCGAATGTTGCCATTCTTCTTGGCAGCGAAGAAGCAAGCGACGCGGCAGGCGATGCGGCGTCGGAAGGAGACGAGCCCGAGGCGGTGCAGCGCCCGGATGAAGTCCCTCTTCTTGGTCAAGCTGAAGCGCAGGCAGGCATCCCAGAACGGGCGGATCTGCGGGACCCTCCCAGCTTCCACCAGCCTGTCGATGTCCGCGGCGGCCCGATAGATGGTCTGCCTCGTGGCCCAGCAGCTTGCGAACCCCGGGTGGAAGACGAGATCGAAGAGGACACGTCTCAAACGAGCCGCGAAGCACTGCGAGTTTCGAAGAGTCGCACGGCACCATGTTGGCACTCTCGGAGGAATACAAGTCCGTGCTCTTGATCAGGTCGAGATAAGCCTGCTGAGCGGCAGCAGGCGGCCGCGAGCCGCGTCGGGCCATCCGTCGATGAAGCCGCTGAAAGATGTCGCGCTGAGGCCCGGTGGCCGCGACATCTCTGGGCGCGAATGACCCCCGGGGGGCTTTGGAGGAGCCGTTGAGCGCGTTCAGGGCAGGCGAGCACTCGTTGACCCTCCCCACCACGGAGACAGAGGCGCGCCCGCGGTGGGAAGCCGCCTTGCCAGAAGTCGGCAAGGGGAAGGGATCGCGCTGCCGATGTCCCGGTCGATGCACACTACGCCGAGGACGAGCACGACGTCGCCCGCCAAGGCCGCGGGGGCCACGACGTCGCCTGCGCCAGGGCGACGTCTGGCGCAGGCGGGCTCTCCCCGCGGCCTGCCCCCAAGCAGGGGCCAGCCACCGTCGCCGCCGGGGAGGCCGTCCGCCTCTGGGCCTTGGCCGCCACCGCGGCCACCGCCTCGCCCGTTGCCGCCGCGGCCTCGCCCAGCGCCAGGGGGGCCGTCGACGCCTCCAGAACCAATGCCGCGGCCTCGGCCGGCGGCGTGCTCCTGCTCCTCGGCGCACAGGCGCTCCTGCTTCATGGTCTGGGCGCGGTCGCGCTGAACGGAGCTGACCCAGCGCATGTACTCAGTCGTGATGATGTCGCCGTTTTCGTCGATCCCTGAAGACAGGAGCACGTCCATTCCGCTCATGTCTGGGTTCTTCGGGTTCTTCCGAACTGCACTCGATTTGGTGGAGATACCGCGTCAAGATCTTGGCCGACGCCACGTTGAAAACGTTCAGCTGGTCGAAGCTCTGCATGTGGGTCATCACCTCGGAGATGCGGCGGTGCGCGCGGGCCAAGCCTGACCGGCGCCCGATGCCGCTCTTGCTCGCGAAGTCCAGGTGGCGCGACATCCACTCGTACCCTGCGCCGCGCAGCGAGGCGACGAACTCGGACACGAGTCGCTCTCCCTGGAGCGGCCAGCACAGCACCGACTCGATCGATAAGGCGGAGACGGCGTCGACCATGGGCATGAACCGCGCTCCGTTGACCCGCGCGCCCCCTACCAAGCGCGAGTTCCGACCAACTCCAGCACGCTACTGACGCAACCAGTCGTCGTGGCTGTCGGGAGCGACCGAGGCGACGGCGACCCGCTCGTCGTCGATAAACGCCATGCCCACCGCGCCGTCCAGCGACTGCATGAACGAGTCGCGATCGGCGGCGATGGCGGTCGGCAGCTCCTCGTCGAAGACAGCGAGGGCAGGGTCCGCCACTCTCCAAGCGACCTGAAACGGCAGGGCGGCGCCAGCGCTGGTGATCCCGAGGATGTCCAGCAAGGCAACTGCCCGCGCACGCATCTGCTCCAGCTCGGCAGGCTGCACAGTGTCGAAGACGTACGCGGCGCGAGCGAACTGAGCGGGGATGGCCGAGTCCCACTCCAAAGCGATAATCCGATGAGCACTCAAATCGGCCACCTGCACGCCCCGGTCGGGTGCAGATGATCCACAGGCCAGGCACGGGCGCGGGCTTCAGCAGCACGCGGTCGTGCCAGTGGATGCCGTTTAAGTCGATGAGACATTGTCGCTCTGCCAGATCGAGAGATCGAACTCCAGCAGCCGCCATCTTAGCCTCTCAGGGCTCGAAGGGAAGCTGGCGTGTGTGGGCCTGGGCCTCGAGGCACAGCAGCTGGCTGTGCCGTATCTGAACTAGTAACCTGCGGACCAGGAAGGGCCAGAGGCTGAACTCGGTGGAAGCGGCTGCACGAAGCACCGATGAGCACGCCGACGATGAGGCACAGGAGGCCGAACGCGAGAACGGTCGTGCAGCTGAACCCCGTGTCAGGCGGGCAGACGCAGTTGCAATCGCAGCTGGGGCACACTGGCTGAGTCAGCCGATCGGGGCCGCACCTGTCGAGCTGGCTCTGCAGGACGGCCAGCACCTTCTCGTCGGCCGTCGGGGCCTCGAACGAGCACACACAGGTGTGGATCGGCGCAGGAGCCAGGCGAGCGACCAGGGCAAAGGCACCGGCGTTGGCCACTCAGGTCAGCCCTCCTGCGAGCCAGTCCATGCACTGTCGCGGTGCGCGGCGGGGGTGGCAGGTAAGCACCCTTGGGCCAAGAACACTACTTACAGAGAACAATCAGAACAACGTTGAGATCAAAGCGCGCCCTTCCTCTGAAAACTCAACAAAAAGTGCACACACGAAGGACACAAATCCCAGGGTTCCCAATATTTTCCCATAGACTCTGGGTTTTCGTCTTCACCCCCACTTCCCATATTTTCCCATAGTTCCCTGGGAGGAGACGGTTAAGTGTGTTTGTATGCTTCTCCCCTCCTGGATACGTTAAGCTTGGAAATCCAAGGAGAATCCAGCCGGAGTGGCGAGGACTTCTCCACAACAAGCAGCGGTATCGGAACGTCTTCCCCTCTGAAAGTGACACTGGGAGGGAGGGACCTTGACATCCGCCGATATGATTATGATCACCCCGCGGCCCCACGAATCCCCAAGGCTGCCGCCGAAGGCCTGCGAATTATGGCAAACATGGGGTCACCACGAATAAGAACCATTTGTGTTGTGATTCTATGTGTCCCATAATCCCGAATTCTGGACACCTAGAATCACCACAAAAAAAACCGTTATTGTTGTGGTGAGTCTAGATTCCCCCTACTTCCGAATTATGGGAAGCCTGGAATCACCATGAAAAACATGTTTGTGTGTACTGGTTCTTGGCTTCCCAAAATTCCGAGCTATGGAAAACGTAACATCATGACGAAACACGCCCCTTGTTCCATGGTGCTCCAGGTGTCCCAAAATACCGATTCTGGGAACCTAGAATCCCCACGAAAAAACATGTGTTGTGTGGTGATCCTAGGCTTCCCGAAAATCCGCAATATGGGAAACCCAGAATCACCACGGAAGCATGTTCTTGATATGGCGATTCTAGGCTTCCCATAATTTCGAGTTGCGGGAAACCAGAATTACCAGAAAAAACCCTGCTTCTGTGGTGATTCTAGGTCTCCCAATAAATCAATGCTTTTCTTTGTTCGTGGTGATTCTAGGTTTCCCACAATTCATTCGGAATTCTGGCAAACCTAGACTCGACACAGAAAAGGGTCTTTCCGTGTTAACTCTAGGTTTCCCATAATTCGAGGTTTCTGGGAAACCTAGACTCACCACAAAAAAAAGATTTGTGTGGTGACTCCAGGTTCTTTCGTGGTGACTCATGGTTGCCCATAATTCCGAAGTATGGGAACCCTAGAATCACAACGGAGAAACGTATTTGATTTGTCGCGATTCTGGGTTGCCCAAAATTCTGAACTCTGGCAAACCTAGTCCCCACATACACACTCACACCTTTTTTGGTGGTGACTCCAGGTTTCTCAGAATCCCCGAATTATGGGAGACCTGGAACCACCACAAAAAAACATTGGCTTGTTGATACTATAGGCTTCCCACAACTCCGAATAATGGGAAACCCATCGCCGGACGACTACCAGCCCCCACTGCTCCGCCCGGGCCAGGCGCTCGCCAAGGATCCAATGCTTTGTGCTTCCAAGGCCCGCAGCACGGCCCCGAGTGCCCCAATCAGGGAAAAACTACAATGAATATATATATATCAATAAAAGTAAATAATAATAATTAAAAATTAAAAATAATAATAAAGAGAATAAAAAAATAAAAACATGTATGTGGGACAAATGCCGACCCAGTCGCCCTCGGCTGCCGCGCCGCCGTGGCCAGCCGCGCCCGCCTCTTCCGCGCCGCCTCCGGGTCCTCTCGGTCGGAGGGCCCATGCCTCCGACGTGGCGTGCGCCGCTCTCTTGGGCTCCGCGCGGGCGGTTCTCGCTGACCTCGGTCTTCGGGGGCGTCCAAAAGGGGGGCGTCCAAGAGGGGAACGGGGCGCAAATCATGGCCGGCGGCACGTGCGCGGCCCAGGGGGGGACCGGGGACACAGTGACATAAGAAGAGGCGCCAGAAAATCTGGGGAGACATCATGGCCCCCGCCGTTCTATCCACCCACCCCTAGTCACCACCCCCCCTTCGTAGCCGCCACCGAGGTCTGTGGAAACTGTTTCTTCACCCAGGAGGGGGGCCGAAAGAGTGATCCTGTGGCGGAGCTGGCTCGTGCCCGCGCACAAATGACGTGCCCCTGCACCCCGGGCGACCTTGCGCCTCCTGGCCATGGTCAGCGCACAGCGCCGCAGCGCGCTGGGCACCGAGGTGCCCGGCAGCGACAGCAACCTCCCGACCCTCCCCTGTCACAGGAAGTCAGGCCCGTGCCACTCCTGGAGAGAGGTTCGAGGTTCGAGGTTTTCGATTGTTTTTTGCCCGTTTTCGGCGGCCTTCCAGCTTCAGGACGCTCTCCAGCAGCTACGCCTCGCCGATGGCGTTCCCCCGATGCCCAGATCGTCCCGAACGACTGCCGGAGAGCCAAGTTTTCACCCGAGGGCAAGGTAGGGGTCGCAGGCCCCAGTTGGCAATGCGTGGGCGCCCATAATCCAAACCAGCCCTCTGGGCGGAGGTGGATTAGGACGTCTCCTCTTCCAACCCCCTCGAATCTTCGAACCCCCCTCTTCCAACCCGATTTCTTCTCCGTCGAAGAAGAGTGTCTCTGCTCCAAATACATACACCCCCTCCCCCACCGCCGCCCCCTCCGCTATCCATTTGAAGTAATAATGCAAAGCGCACCTTGCGGAAAAATCTGGACCGTCCGCGGGCGCCTGTTGAGCACTTTGCATTGATTTGTTACCAGAACCAACCGAAAATTGATCGTATGATCCGCTCTCTGCAGGCGGCCCACCACCGCTGTCAAAACACACTGCAACGCGCGCACTGCGGGAACCAGTGGACCGTGCGCGGGTTCCCTTCGCGCACGGTTGTAGAAGGGACGGCCGGCGGCGGCGCCCCCAGGATGTCTGCTCTGCGCACACCCAGCATCCCTGTCAGCGCACACTGCAAGACACACTGTGTGGCAGAAGCGGGTCCACGCGCGGGCGCCCCGCAACCAATTTGCATGGGTTTCAAGCACGGGGGGCGGCGAAGGAGCCCCTTCATAGAGAGTGGTAGGCCCAGGCCCACGACTCCTAACAGAAACAATACAGAGTGCGCTTTGCGGCAAAATCTTAAGCACTCCAAATCATGCGCGGGCGCCCCGCAATCACATTGCCCTTCATGTTGTCTGCTCGCGAACTCAATCGGATCGGGGCCCCAGGCTCGGATGCTGCCTATGTGTGGGTAGGGCGGCTGGGAGTGAGGGACGCGGCTTGCGGATTGGGGTACCCATCGGTCGAAAATAAGTAGAAACATGAAGTAGGAAGGCGGATAGAGTAGATTGGGTTCGGGCCCGCCCAGAGCAACAAAACGCAGCAGAAGCATATCAATTCTTGAAGTAAGAAGGCGCTTGAAGTAGATTGGGTTCTGGGAATCAAAAAAATACTTTCTATGGGTAACTGAATAACTGCTCCCTATTAGTGAGCACCCCCTTCCCCACCCGACGGGCAGCCAACCCAGACCCACGAGCCCTCCGCCCCCCCAAACCATTTCAGAAATAGCAGATCCTGGCGAAGGACCAACCATCTGCAGGTGTGAATGCCGGGCGGACTTCCTGTGGGGCCACGAAACTTGTGAGGTCACCGAAACGAGCGGGGCGCCGCCTGGCGGGCGCTGCCGCTTGGGTCTTCGGTGAGGCCCTCTGCGGGGCTGCGAAACGCGTGAGGGGTGTGCCAACATGGGGCGCCGGCGCCATGCGGGCGCTGCCATTTGGGCCTTCGGTGGAGCTCCCAATGGGGCCGCGAAACGTTTGAGGGGCGTGCCAAAATAGGACGGCGGCGCCATGCAGGCGCTACCATCTGGGCCTTCGGCGGAGCTTCCTACGGGGCCATGCAGCGCGAGGGGTGTGCCAAAAAAATGCGGCGGCGGCACCATGCGGGCGCTGCCATGTGGGCCTTCGGCGGAGCTCCCTATGGGGCCGCGAAACATGTGAGGAGTGTGCCAAAATTTGGCGGCGGCGTCATGCGGGCGCTGCCTTTTGGGTTTCGGTGGAGCTCTCACAAAGTTTCCAAGGTGTGTGCCACACCGGGGCAGCGGCGCCATGCGGGCGCTGCCATTTGGGCCTTCGGTGGGGCCACCTGCGGGGCCGCAAAACATGTGATGGTTAGTCCAAAGTGGGTCGGCGGGCGGCGGTAGGGTTCCCTACGGGGCCACGAAACGTGCAGGGGGTGTGCCTTAATGGGCGGCGGGGACACTTGCGGACTGCGCCACTGGGGCCTTCGGCGGAGCTTCCAATGGGGCTACGAAACGTGAGAGGGGTGTGCCGTAATGGGCGGGGTGTGCTGTAATGGGTGGGGGTGGCGCGGGTAGACTGCGTCGCCGGACCCTTCGGCGGAGCTTAGCTCCCTATGGGGCTACGAACCGTGCGGGCGGTGTGCCCTGGTGGGTGGAGGAGACGCATGCGGACTGCGCCAACGAGGCCTTCGGTGGAGCTCATCTTGGGGCCACGAACCGTTTGAGGGCTGTTCCGAAATGGGCGGAGGGGGCGAGGGCAGATGAGGATGACGATGGTTATAAAAGTGATAGCGTCAAGGTTGAGCCTGACAATGGTGATACTGATGGTGATGCCAACGATGTCAATGAAAACAATATGAGGATGACGATAATGATGATGATAATGTTGGTGATGATGACGGTGATGATGATGATAATGATGGTGATGGAAATCATGGTGATGATGGTGATGATGATGGTGGCAACGGTGATGATGACGGTGATGGTGATAGTGATGGTGGTGGTGATGGTGATGGTGATGGTGATGGTGATGGTGATGGTGATGGTGATGGTGATGGTGATGGTGATGGTGATGGTGATGGTGATGGTGGTGGTGGTGATGGTGATGGTGATATTGATGGTGATGGTGATGGTGATGGCGATAGTGATGGTGATGGTGATGGTGATGGTGGTGATGATGGTGATGGTGATTGTGATGGTGATGGTGGTGATGATGGTGATGGTGATGGTGCTGGTGATGGTGATGCTGATGGTGATGGTCGTGATGATGGTGATGGTAACCGTAATGGTAATGGTAATGATAATGGTAATGGTGATGGTGATGGTGATGGTGATGGTGATGGTGGTGGTGATGATGATGGTGATGGTGATGATAGTGTTGATGATGATGATGATGATACTGGTGATGGTAATGGTAATGATGATGATGATGATGATGATGATGGTGCTGATGAAGATCATGACGATGGTGGCGATGATTACGATGATGACGATAATAATGATGATGACGATGACGATGCCGATGACGATGACGATGATGATGATGACGATGATGCCGATGATGATGATGATTATGATGATGATGATAGTGGTGATGATGATGATGATGGTGGTGATGGTAATGATGATGATGATGGTGATGATGATGATGATGATGATGGTGCTGATGAAGATCATGACGATGGTGGCGATGATTACGATGATGACGATAATAATGATGATGACGATGACGATGTCGATGACGATGACGATGATGATGATGACGATGATGCCGATGATGATGATGATTATGATGATGATGATAGTGGTGATGATGATGATGATGATGATGATGATGATGATGATGATGATGATGGTGATGGTGATGGTAATGATGTGATGATGAGGATGGTGGTCATGGTGATACTGGTGGTGATAAGGAAATGCGAGGGGCAAAGGCAGGGATGGGAGGAGGCGGAGGAAGGAGTAAAGGAGGGAATGCTGGGCGATGCGGTCTCAACACGAGGACCCAATACCACATAATGGTCAGGAAACTATACAAGATACGCTGTGCCTCCACAGGGACGGCAGGAGCGTCTGCATATTGGCTGCTTCGTGTTATGCCAACCCCCCCACACACACACACACACACACACACACACACACACACACACACACACACACACACACACACACACACACACACACACAAACACCCATCCCTGTCAAAAACTGGCCTGACGAAGGACCGAAAAGTTCGTGGTAATGCACTTGTAAGTACCGTCTCAAGCGGAACTCCCTATGGGGCCCTGCCCGCATGCGGGCTGTGCCGCTGGGGCCTTGGGTGGCGGTCCCTGTGGAGCCACGAAACGTGTGAGAGGGGTGCCGAAACGTGGGTGTCACCTAAATGCGGGCTGCGCCACTGGGACCGTAGGTGGACCTCCCAATGAGGCCAAGAAACGTGTGAGGACTGTGCCGAAACCGGGGTGGCGCCCACATGCGGGCGGCGCCACTAGGGCCTTCGGTGGAGCTCCCCATCCACGAAACGTGTGGACTGTGTGCCGACAAGGTGGTGTCGCCCACATGCGGCCTGCCGGCACTGGGCCTCCATATGGGGCCACGAAACGTGTGAGGGGTGTGCCGAAACGGTGGTGGCGCCTAAATGCGCGCGGCGCCAATGCGGCCGTCTGTGGACCTCCCAGTGGGGTCACGAAACGCGTGAGGAGTGTGCCAAAACGGGGATGGCGCCCACTGGCGGGCGCGCCAATAGGACTTTAGGCGGAGTTCCCTATGGGGCAACGAATCGTGCGAGGAGAGTGCCGACACGGGAGTGATGACGATGGTGGTGATGATGACGGCTACGATGATGATGATGATGATGATGATGATGATGATGATGATGATGATGATAATGGTACTGATGATGATGACGATGCTTATGATGATGATGATGGTGGTGGTGATGATGATGGTGATGATGATGATGATGATCACGATGAGGATGATAATGACGATGATGATGACGATGATGATGATAATGATGATGATGATGACGATGATGATGCTGGTGATGGTGATGGTAATGATGATGACGATAGTAATGATGTTGATGATGATGACGCTGATGATGTTGTTGCTGCTGATGGTGGTCATGATGATGATGACGACAACAACGACGATTATGATGATGATAATGACGATGATGATGCCGATGATGATGATGGTGATGATGATGATGGTGATGATGATGATCCTGCTGATGGTCATGATGCTGATGCTGATGCTGATGGTGGTGGTGATGGTGATGATGATGATGATGTTGATGATGCTGATGCTGATGCTAACGATGTTGATAATGATGCGTATGATGATGATGATGACGATGGTGATGATGATGACGATGATGATGATGATGCTGATGATGATGATGATGGTGAGGATGGTGATGATGATGATGATGATGATGATGATGATGATGATGATGATGATGATGATGGTGGTGAGGATGAGGATGAGGATGAGGATGAGGATGATGGTGATGGTGATGGTGATGGTGATGATGATGATGATGATGATGATGATGATGATGATGATGATTATTAGGGAGGGGCAGCGGGTGGGGAGGAGGGGGAGGAGGAGGGGAGAAGGAAGAGAAGGAGTGACGCGGGGGGGGGTCTCTTCAAAACGGGGACCCAACACCACAGGACAGTTGGGAACAATGCAACGGGCACGCTGCTGCGAAGTATCGGGCCATGATCGGGCACCCCGCGATCACGTTGCATCGGCTTTTGATATGGACGGCGGGGGTGCTGGCACGTTGTCTGCTGTGCAGGCCCACCAGACGTCATGTTGGTCACCCCGCCGCGATTGCTCAGTGTTCGACGAGGACCGTGGAGGCAGACATGTTTCCCAGTGTGAGCTGGCGCACCTGGCACACTCTGCGCGTGCACCTGGACGTGGCGACGCGGCTGGAGCATACAGCACTCTGGGCGCGCGCGGAGCACATGGCACATCTGGCACACCAGGCGTGCCTGTCACGCTCGGGCCTCAGAGGCGTCTGGCGCGCCTGGTGCGCGTGGCGCGCCTGGCACGCGTGGCGCACCTCTCCCCAGCGTGGCGCACCTCGCTCCAGCGTCGCGCACCTGGGCCTGTCTTGGTTCCCAATTGCTGGCCAGTCAAAGGCGACCGCTGAGTATGCTAAGACTCTGGTATTACGTATGTTAAGAGCGCGGGTGGGAGTGAACCAAACAGGCTGCGTGCGGGAGAGATGTATTGATTCCTCCGCGTACCCCTTACCGCTGGGTCTGGACGCGGGGGGGGGGGGGGGGGGGCGCGAGGTGTCAGAGTGTTGTGGGGCCCAAGATGGCGCCAAGAGGGCCTCAGAAACCCAGGATGGCCTCTAAGATGGCCAAAGATAACGCAGGATCGCTCAAGACGGCTCCAAACATACCCCATGGGGGACCAAGACCGCTCCACGACGGGTCCAAGAAGGCTTGTGACCTTCCAAGACGCCAAACACCTTCAAACACTTACAGAAATCAAGAAGTGTAGCAGTCTCGCCCTTTCGCTTCCGATGGCCTTCCGAGGCCTCAAGATGGCTCCAACAGGGCCCAAGAGAGGCCCGAGAGATGCCCAAGAGGGACCCGCCCCAGGTGCGCCCTAAACCCTAAGCCCCAAGAGCGACCCTAAACCCTAAGCCAGAAGCCCTAAGAAAGCCCAAGACCCTACAGAAACGCTAAACCCTAAGTCCCAAGAAAGCCCAAAGAACGCCCCAAGAGCGACCCGCCCCAGGTGCGCCCCAAGAGGGCCCCAAGAGGTGAATGCTGGGGCACCAGAGGGTCGATGCTCATTGAAGCCCCCCCCCCCCTTTTTGATCGATGTCCTCCAAGATGGCCCCGAGGCTCCCAAGAGGGCCTCAATAAGGCCGCAAGAGAGCCCCCAAAGGCTGTCAAAGTGGTCCTAAGACAACCTCAGCAGCCACCAAGAGCGCCCGAAGAGCGCCCCAAAGAGGACTCCAAGAGGCGCTGTTTCGAGCCCAAGAGAGGCAACGCTACCCTAATCCTCGCCGCCCCCTCTTCCTCCGTCTCTTCCCCCCACCTCCTCATCATCCGTTTCATCCTGTTCCTTCTCCTCCTTCAACCCAAGGGTTCACCAGGAGTTTAAAGAAAACGTGCCACATCAAACCATCATTCAGTGTACTTGCCTGCCTTATTATCCTTATCCGCCTTTTCCTCCCTCCTCATTCCTCCTACTCTCCTCCTCCTCCTCCTCCTCCTCCTCCTCCTCCTCCTCCTCCGCATCATCATCATCATCATCATCATCATCATCATCATCATCATCATCATCATCATCATCATCATCATCATCATCATCATCATCAGCATCAGCATCAGCATCATCATCATCAGCAGCATCGGCATTATCAGCATCATCATCATCATCAGCAGCAGCATCAGCATCATCATCATCTTCAGCATCATCATCAGCAGCAGCAGCATCATCAGCTTCAGCATCCGCATCAGCATCATCATTATCATCGTCATCGTCATCGTCATCATCATCAGCAGCATCATCATCAGCATCATGAGCATCATAAGCATAATCATAATCAGCAGAATCATCATCAGCATCATGATTAATATGATCATCATCATCAGCAGCAGCAGCATCACCATCATCAGCATCATCATCATCAGCAGCATCAGCATCAGCATCAGCATCAGCATCATGATCACCATCATAATCCCCCTCCCCCTCTTCCTCCTCCTACTCCTCCTCCTCCTTCTCCTCCTCCTCCTCGTCCTCCTCATAATCCTAGCCCTTAAGCCTTTCGCGCAAGGTGGGTTGAGGGGGGCGCGATTCGAAGGAGCATAGCCCTCCCGCGACAGCGCATGGCATGGGCGGACACCGAGGAGGCGGGGTCGGCTCCGTGGCGAGTCGCCGAAGCGGCGGCGGCGGGCAGGGCCAAAGCCGCGTCGGCTGTGCACGCCCAGATGGTGAAGGCCGTATAGTCAGTGCGGCAGCGACAGCGGCTCTGGCGGCCGTGGCGCCCCACAAAATGCGGCCCGCGCCGAGGCCAAAGCCGTCCTCACCACGGCCAAGGGCAAGGCCGACGATGTCCCCGTCGGCACGGCTCCTGGCCATCGGGGACCAGCTGAAGGACGGCGAGGAGAAGGTGATCGCGCCCCCGCCTGGCGTCCGGGACGACCCGCAGTCTCCGCGTCGTGCGAGGCTGACGGTTGCGGAGGAGCCGAGCTCGCGGCGCTCGAGAAGCAGGTCACGAAGGCGACAGCGACAGCCTCCCGAGAGCTGGATGGGCGCCTGCCCCAACCACATGGCGCCGAGCCCAGTCATCGGGCGGAAGGCGGCGGAGAAGGACAAGCAGCCCAAGAAGGACAGGAAGGAAACGGACAAGGAAGGCAAGAAGAGCAGGCGGTCGCGCAGCTCGTCACCCTTGGAGGTCAGCTGAAAAGCGACAGCGATGAGGAGGATGGCGACATCGACGAGCTCCGCGAATGGTACGAGGACGGCGACGGCAAGGGCTCCGCGCACCAGGCGGAGACGGGCAAGGACAAGGTGGGAGTTCTGAGCACCTTCGGTATTCAGGACGGTAGCTACTTCATCGGAGTGCGTATGGGCATGAAGGTGCTCAAGCCGATTGGCTTCGTGGGCCACAGGCTGTCCCTGACGAGTGGCATCGAGCTGACGTTGGACACGGTGAAGGGCGTCGAGGCACAGTGCCCAAGCGTACCCTGCGGAGCTGCAAAATGTCGCGGAGGCGGTGCACTCAATCGTGTTCCGAGAGGTGGGGTCGCTGACGGGGCAGACTGGGAGGACCGTTCCATGACGTCCGACATGGTGTCCAAGAGGAGCAGCGAGGTGCACCCCAGGCTTCCCACCACGAGCGAGGAGGCAGGCGGAGAGAAGCCGGAATCTACGATCAGGGAGTGCCCCGACCTTGAGACCGAAAAGAGGGGCGTGGGTGATGAGAAGGAGAGGGGGGTTCAAGGTTCAAGGTTCAAGTCCTATCAGAATGGCCCGCGAAGGGCAGGACCCACACGACGAAAGCAGAAGACAGTGCCAGCCAATCCGTGGAACAGCGAGCCAGACGCCTCCATTCGCCAAGGAGAGGGGGGGGACCGCGTGAGGAGGATCCCCTCTGTCTGCGCGCGTAGGACAAGGAGAGGCTCAGCTTCGCAGCCAAGGTGCGCAACCAGCACGAGGAGCTGGTGTCTTCCGGGGATGAAGGAGATGATGAGGATGGCGGTGATGTATCTCCCCTCGCGTCGGGGCCGACCTTCCCAAAGATCGAGGGTAGGGAGACGCATGCGACCCTACCCAACGTGCCGACTGCCGAGGATGGCGAGCAGGAGATCTGCCTTTCCGACGTTGTCGATGGTGGCCTCGACGTTGAGACCTTATTTGAGGGCTTCGCGGGCTCAGAGAGTGCTGTAAAGAATCTGGGCGCTCTCTTACAGTGGCACAAAGAGCAGAAGAGCGCGGGGACCGAGAAGCGGAAAGCTGCGTCTTCACGCCGCAGTTCGCGGGCGAGTCGCTCGACGCGCTGTGCCGGAGAGCTCACGGAGAAATCGAGCAACAAGGCGCTGGACTTCGGCTGAGTCCCTGGACTCCGTTGGCTCGCTGGGCTCCGACGACATGCAGGCGTTCCTCCGAAGTGCCGTGGTTCGACGGGGTTGTCCGCAAGCTCAGGAAGCGCTGAAGGTGGAGGGGGGTTCACGCGCTCCAGAGTGGGGGTCCTGCTCCGTCCTGGGGCTCCCCGGGGTTCGGTTCTCCTGGCTTATCGGTTTTTCGGCCCTTGTGGCCTTTTCGGCGGGCCCTGCGGGGACCGCCCCCAGCCGACCGGAGCGTGCGGACCTCCTGGCGGCGCTTGCGGCCGAAGTGCGGAGCGGGGGCCTGCACCCCGATTCAGTCTTCAAGCATTCAAGCCTCCTCCTCCTCCTCCTCCTCCTCCTCCTCCTCCTCCTCCTCCCGCCTCCTTCTCCTCCTCTTCAACTTCCTCTTGCGCTTCCTGTTCCTACTCCCGCCTGATCTTCGTCCTCCGACCTTCCTCCTGGCTCTGCTCAGGCAGATTCCGCACTCCGATTTGCCCGGCTTCCCCAGCTTTCTGTTCCACTGAATGCTCACCCACTTCCCTCATCAAGGCAACTTGCCTGGGCGTAGTTTTCGGGGGGGCTGGTGGGGACTTGTTTTTTTATTTTGTTTTACAGCCGCAGGCGGAAGCGCCAGCGGCGGAAGGTCGCGAACGGGCCGCGGACGCGACTAAATCACCTAACGCGCGCAGGGCCGCGACTGGTGGGGACACGCGAAGCGTCAAAAACTACTGCCTACTGCATTCCCAACGTGTTCCTGACTTTGGGGCCCTTTGGGCCGCTTTGGATCCGAAAAGACAAGGAAAGCCGGAAATGTGGTCGAGAGCTCTTGAGCCAACGGGTTGCAGAAATCAACCCGCGAGGAGGCTGCAGCCCTTCTGCCATGCCCCGTTCCCTGCCTAATCGAGATCCAAATCTTTGCGTCTCTCCCCCTCCTGCTCCTCTTCACCCGCCTTCCCTCCTTCCTCCTCCTCCTCCTCCTCATCCTCCTCTTCCTCCTCCTCCTCATTGCTTTCATTGTCCTGCTCCTCCTCGTCGTCCTCCTCCTCCTCCTCCTCCTCCTCCTAATCATCATCAGCAGCATCATCAGCATCATCAGCATCGTCATGAGCATCATAAGTACCATCATCATCATCATCATCATCATCATCATCATCATCATCATCATCATCATCATCAGCATCATCATCATCATCACCACCACCCTCATCATCATCATCATCATCATCATCATCATCACCATCATCAACATCAGCATCAGCATCAGCATCACCATCATCATCATCATCATCATCGTCATCATCAGCATCATCATCATCCGCTTCATCATCATCGTCATCAGCATCAGCATCATCAGCATCATTAGCATCATCATAAGCATCATCATCAGCATCATCAGCGTCAGCATCATCAGCATCATCAGCATCATCATCAGCATCATTAGCATCATCATCAGCAGCAGCATCATCAGCATCATCATCAGGGTCAGCATCATCATCATCATCGTCATCACCACCACCACCACCACAATCATCATCATCATAATCATCATCATAATCATCATCATCATCATCATCATCATCATCATCATCATCATCATCATCATCATCATCATCATCATCCCCCTCCCCCTCCTACTTACGCCTCCTTCACCTCCTCTCTCGATCCCCATCCCCCCTCTTGCATCATGAAAGTTCAGCTGGTCTCTACCGGTCGTCTTCGCCCCGCCGTTCCTGGGGGGCCCACTCGAGCTCCCTGTGGCTCCCCATCCACAGCCTGACACGAAGAGAAGCAGCGGACCAAGCAACGTGGGAAGCGGCCGGGGCTACAAAGGTCGGCAGCGGCAGTTGTGGCAGTGGCAAATGGCAACGCTGGCTGCAGCAGGAGCAGTGGCTCTGGCAGCGGCGGCCAGCGCAACGGTGAAGGCGATCGCAGAAGCGGCAGCGGCAGCGGACGGTAGGGTTAGCACACAGACAGGGGAAACGGAAGCTGGAGCAAGGAGCAGTGCTGGGGTGTGCATTGCCCCTACCCCGTCGAGCAGCCCTCTCGGCAGCCAGGAGGGCGCTCCCAGGCATCGCCTCCCATTCGCCCACTCCCCGATGGCCAGGTACCACAATGATGACAGGAGTAGCGGGCCACCGAAAGTGTATGGTTATGCTGTTGCTTCTTATTCCAAAAATGGCATGCGGAGGACATCAACCAATGGCTATGGCGACGACCAGGCGCACCAGCTCCAGGGGTGCCAGCGGCGGGGGCAACGATGACGATGAAATTGCGAAGGCTGCGATGATGGCGGGGCAACAAGGGGATCGGAGGCTGACGCGGATATGCTGGAAGCTCCGCTGGTCTGTGCCCGCGCGTGCTGCATGGCAACTCCCCCAGACCGAGCGAGTCGGAGGGGAAAATATACAAACGCACGAGATCGAGAGACATGTATGGATATCGAGGTCAGCCCACACGTACGGAAAAACATGGACACGCACACCAGGGCGACCCGAAACCAAAGCCCCCACATCGAGGTTCGGAAAAGAGAAAGAGGACACCGCGCCCCGTTCCGGCATGCGTTGCGCTGCCAGCGAGGACGTGCCAAATGGAGTGGTGCGTGAAGGAACGCGCAGTTTCCCACGTGCCCGCAGCCTTTGCGGCCCGAGCCCCCTCTTTGAGATGGCCGCGGGGTGCAGGAGGCGCCCCCGCTCCTGACGAAGTGCGAGAGGCCCGGGGAGGCCAACTGTGCTGGCGCAGCCGAAATGGCTCTGCAACCACGTGAAGTAACGTCACCGATAAAAGAGCAGGAATGTCGCAGAACGGAGCGAATGTTGCAACAACGGACGCAGCAGCGCATCATCCAGCACGACCCCGAACACTTTCGAACAAATGTTCCTTCCTGGATCGTGGTACGAATACCACGTCGGCACATATAACGAAACCGTATGAACTGGTAGAATAACAGCACACAAGTAACAACCGAACGCACTAACGAATGATTGGTTCGGGTCGCAAATTCACGCGCGTTGGCTTCTGACGCCTTGTGGATCGTTCACCCTTGAACGATGAACAGATCGCTCGACACCGACCGGTTCTAGGTCACTGGCGGCACTTAACCTTGAACGCCCACGCTGGGGTTGCCGCCGCGCCAAGGCGGCGCAAACCTACCGTCGTCGCACCAGCCCGTCGGCCGGGCGCGGGCGGTTCAGCGAGCTCTCTTTGCCAACACCTCTTCCCTTTCGGGAAAAGGCTTGCTGCTCTCGCCAGGCCCTTCCCTCACTCGACCGGCCGGCGACCGCCGACAAGAAACACCACGCCCAAAAAGCATCACAAATAGATCCACCAGCGAACAATGCCAAGCACAAACACACACACACACACACACACACATACACACATACGCACACACCAACACACACACGCGCGAATGCACACAAACTCACACACACACACACAAACATACACACACGCACACACACACACACACACACACACACGCACGCACGCACACACACGCACACACGCACACACACACACAAAAAAAGAAACAACAAAAAAAAAAAAAAAAAAAAAAAAAAAAAAACTCTCTCTCTCTCTCTCACCACACACACACACACACACACCCACACACACACACACGCGCGCACGCACGCACGCACGCACGCACGCACGCACGCACGCACGCGCGCGCGCGCGCGCACGAACACACACACACGCACACACGCACACACGCTCACGCACACGCACGCACACACCCACACACACACACACACACAAGCACACACACACAAGCACGCACGCACGCACGCACGCACGCACGCACGCACGCACGCACGCACGAACACACACACACACACACACACACACACACACACACACACACACACACACACATCGTGTCGCCACATCGCCCATCTCTTGAAATTCCGTGTTCTTGCAGCAGGTTTCGGTGCCTGGCTCGGGGCGCGAGACTGTCACGACGCTGATGCAGAATTAGCCTGGCGAAGAACCCAACCATATGCAGTTGTCAATACCGCAGCTGCGGGTCTCACCTTCAGTGGAACTCCCCGTAGGACCACGGGACGTGTGAGGGGTGTGCCGAGATGGGTGCCACTGGGGCATTCGGTGAAGCTCCCTATGGGGACATGAAACACGCGCGGGGCGTGCCGACATGGGTGGCGGAAACGCATGTGAGGGCCGCCGCTGGGGCCCCCAGTGGAGCTCTCTTCGGGTCGCCGAAACATGATGCTGCTGCGGGGGGGGGTGACGGGATGGGTGGCGGAGACGCATGTAAGCGCCGCTACTGGGGCCTTCGGTGGAGCTCCCTATGGGGCCACGAAGCGCGTGAGGGGTGTACTGGGATGTGTGGCGGGGACGCATGTGGGCGCCGGCGCCTCCTCAGGTCGAAGTCGCTCTCCGAGTGACTGAGGCCAAGCCTTGCGCGCCGCCCAGCCAAGTCTGGCCTGCTCCTGGGCCCGGCCAGCACCGGGACCACGGCCCGCCTCGGCTTGCCCTGACAGCGGCTGCCCGGGCGGCGAGGCGAACGGCTCCTGCGCTCGCTCGGCGCGCGAGGGCCGGAGCGGCAGCTCGCCGAGGCCACCGGCGTGGGCGGCACCGCCCGGAGCGTCGCCACCTCCATGCACGCTCTTGGGGCCCTGAGGCTGAAAGCGTCGAGACGGACCGTCGCTTGGGTTCCACTCTGAGAGGAGCCACCTCACCTGAACCTTCAGATCTGCTGCGACTCCCACTGCAAAAAAGACACGAGAGACTCCCAAGAGACGATGATTGGCAGCACGACCTTTGGCGGCAGCGAGAGTGAGGGACATGTTATCGCCAAGAAAGAGTCGGCGAGAACAGTGCTCCCGAGCGCCCCTAGCTACCCGGCGGACGGCCCAAGTCAGAGCGGCACCCTCGAGCCCGTGGATGGCCTCCTTGCGCTTCCAGCGGCCGCAGCCAACTACGCGCCAGGGCCGAGCGTGCATCTTGCCGCAGTCGACCTCCGGGAAACCTGCCGAACGACCAGCCAGCAGGAGGGCGGGCTCTGGTGCCCGCGCTATCTCCTGCTCCAGCGCCCTCTCGCGGGGGGCGCCCTCGGCAGCGAGCACGCCTCGGAATCGGGCGCGCTCGGAGACCCGGCCGACGCGCTGCACGTCCTTGAGGTCCCACTCGGTCTCCACGATGCCGTAGCCCCAGGGGGGCGCGTCGAAGCAAGTAACCACCTCGCTCCACGGGCGCCGGGTGTCGGCCCGAAGACAAGGTAGCAGCGCCTTGACCCAGCCCATCTCACGGGCCACGCTTTTCCAGAGCGGCTGCGTCTTGGAGTAGGAGGCCTTCACGAACTCGTATGAGGAGCGCAGCATGGCCAGCCCCTCCCGGCGCAGCATCAGGATGGAAACCAGGTGACCAATCAGACGCTCGAGCTCTTGGCCAGAGACCTTGGCCCGACCCGAGAGGACACACTCGAGGGCACCGTAGACCCGCCATAGCCGGCGGCCCAGGACATGCCAGCAGCCCGTCTGCAGGTCGAGCTCGCATCCCAGCAGCTCGCCGCGCCCGGCTGGGGTGGGGTCTAGCTCTGAGACCACGCCCTTGGCCGCGAGGGCCGCCTGCATGTCGGCGACGGCAGTGGCGGCACGGTTGGACGACTGAGACAGCACAGCAAAGTTGTCTATGTACAGGACCTTGGCATCCTCAGAGTTCAAGTCGATGCCGGGGCACTTGTCCAAGCACCACGGCTGCGTTGGCAAAACTGACTTGACGAGGTGAAGGTGTGCTTCTTGAATAAAGTGCACTGCCCAGCTCCAGCCCATGGGCACCACCTTGAATCGAAAGCGAACCTGGCCGCTCTTCAACGTCAGCCCGCAGGCGCCCCGAACCTCTGGTGGCAGGAAGCGACTCTCGATCAACGGGAGGTTGAAGTAGCGCCTGCACCAGGGCGGCAATGCATATTGATAGAAACAGCAGTCGACGTCTCCAGAACTCATGCCGATCATAGTGACTCCTGACGCCTCCAGCGAGGATAACGCCTCGCCCGTCGCGAGCGCCGTGTGCTCTGGAGTGGTAAAGTGCATGTTGGGTGTCCTGGTGTCGCAGATGAGACGCAACCGCTTGTCTTTGCGAGCCACAAAAAACATGCCAGCTTCCTCCAACACTGGCTCCGAGCTGGCCTCGATCACTCCAGAGGTGTAGAGCTCCCCCAGCGCGTGGCCGTAGTCGTAGCCGAGCCGCCCGAGCTTCGGGTCCATGGCACGAGGAGCACCTGCATCACGAATTAGCGATGCTGCCTCCACTGGGGATCGCAACAGCCCGCGCCCAGTCTCCAGCTTGTTCTGCAGCGCAGCGGGGAGGACCTCCGTAAGAGCCACCTTGCCCGCGCCGATCTTGGGGAGAGAGATATTTCCCCGCTGGTAGACTGTTCGAGAACCGGAGGCCTCGACTTCAGAGCAGCCAGGCCTGAGACCCTGTAGCGTCGCCCACGCTGCATGGGGACTCGGGCGATCAACGGGCGGCGACCACTTGCCGTAGTCGTGGCCAGCCGCCTCACCGCAGCACACTGGGCCGCCGTCAGCGGCGCGAGGGCAGGCACATGGCGCCCCTGCCCCCCCAGCTCGTTGAGGGAGGTGATGCCGTCGAGTAGCCACTGATCCTGCCGCCTCCTGGTCGCAGCTCTCCTCCGTGCTGTGAGTGAAGTGCCCCATGCAGCTCCACCGCTCAGCATCGACATCAGCTCCGGACCGATCGGGATAGGAAGTAGGTCTCGATGACGCCCTCCGCCGCCGTCGTCACAAAACATAGTGCTGCATGACCAGCACCTCCCCTTGAGAATAGTCGACCGCTCGGGGGCAGGCGGGCGACCAAGCCACTTCGAAATAGGGATGGGGCTAGGAAGCCCCGTCAGCACCGCCCTTGGCCTTTGCTTTCGACTTCGGCCTGGTTGTGCTGTTCTCTTCCACACCACCTCGAGCAAGAATATTTTCTTCACGTCCTTTGCGCCGCTCTTTGAGTACTGCTGCCTCCTCCTGGAGGCGGGCTGCCACCCAGCTCTGAAGTGCAGGACAGACCAAAGCTCCCCCACGCCCACGCTCTTGCCCCAAGAAGATCTCACGCTCGTCGAGCCAAGCTGAGCCCCCTGCACTGCGCACCGCGCCCGCCTCGTGCTCACGAGGTCTGTTGGCATAGACTTCCCCCCAGAGTTGGCACCGTCGGGACACAGCTTCAGAGGTCGCGAGCTCGCCCTCATTGAGTTGGTCCTTTTCGGCGCCCATCTCCAGCAGCTCTGAAAGGAACTGATGTTCATCAACTCCAGCATCTGCGGCGGTGAGGTTCTGGGTCTGCCCCCACCACATGTGTCGCTGCAGGGGAGTCTGGCCCAGCCGCCTGAACTGCTGCACCACCCACAGGGTCGCCCGCGGCCCGAGGACAGGGAAGTCCAGCTGCGGGTTGGAGGACATGATGTCCACCGCCTCGGCGAAGTCCCTGACCCTGGAGCCGCCGGAGTCGTACTTGACGGGGAGAGTCCGAAGATCCTGCTCTGCAGCTTGACGCTCCTGCCGGGGGGTGGGAGTGCCCTCATAGGTGTCGGCCTTCGCGACTGCCAGCTTGGTTCCGTCGGCGAGCTCGCAGATGCCCCAATCTCCAAGAATGGCGACGGGCACGGTGCCTGCTGGAAGCTCGTCACCTGGTCGGTAGCCAGCGCGAGCCTCCAAGGCAACCCAGCGAGGAGCGTCACCAGCGTCAGCCCGATCCAAGAGAGCCCCACCAGGTGCAGGCAGTGGCGCGAGCGCCCCGTGTGGCTCGTCGGGGAGGCCCTCCTCTCGGCGGATCTCGCTAGCCAGCTGCTTGCCCTCTGCCAGCAACCTCGCTTCGTGCCTCTTGTAGCGGCCCATGTCCACGCGGAGGATGTGGCCAGAGAGCTTCGCGGGCAAGCCCCCGAGGGGGCCGACTGGGCAGAGCTGCAGGGCGTCCGCGAAGTCTTCCTCGTAGATGTCAAAGTGTGGCGTGACCACCACCCATCTCGTCGCAGTGATCCTGCCGACCAGGATCCGTTCATGCCAGTAGTTGTCCTCTTGCTCGTAGTAGGCGAGGACCCGTGTACCCACCTGCAGGGTCTCCAGGGCCTTGGCAGTCCGCGAGGCTGCCATGGGCCACTGACTGGGTCTCTCTGCGAGCACGTCGTCTTGTCGTCCAGCCAATGACCTCGCGGAGCACTGCGCCCAGGACCAGTCCGAGCACGAGCGAGAGGGCGAGCTCCAGCCGGGTGTGCCCAGGCTCGGGGCAGGCTGGCGTGAACGTCGGCTGCCCGTGCAGGTGCTCCGGACCGCACCTGTCGAGCTGTCCTTTCAGCAGCCCGATGAGGGCCTCGTCGGGCGAGGCGTCGAAGCGGCAACTGCAGTCGCACCCGCTGCTGCTGCTGCCGAGCCAGGTGCCAAGCGCCCGGCCGCCGATCGCCGCGATCCAATGAGCCCCCGCCCCGAAGAGGGCCGTGGCCATTCAGAGAATGACCCCCCGAAAGAAGTGCCTTGAGCGAGAAGGCGACAGACATTAGCAATCATTCACGTGCATCACTTACATGGTTTTTTCTATGTTTTTTAATTGCGTTCTGGCCTTTTCGCTTCCGGACGCTCCAAGAGGGCCCAAGAGGCCTTCAAGACTGCTCCAAGACGGCCCACGAGGCTCCCAAGACGGCCCCGGAGCGGCCCAAGAGCGCCCCCCAGACGGCCCAAGTGCCGCCCAAGGCGGACCAAGAGGCCCCAAGACGGGCCCAAGAGGGGCTCAAGAAGGGAACCGAGAACTGGAAAATCGAGCCCTCCGCCCCAGAAGGCGCCCAGGATCCCGAAAGAGGCCCCAAGAGACTCTCCAAGATACCCCCAAGAGGCCCCAATAAGCTCCCGTGAGGCCCCAAGAGGACCAACAACGTCAGGCCCCAGGCCCCAAGAGGACCAACAAATACCGCCAAGAGCCCGCCGAAAGCCCCCCAAGAGACCGTCGCGAGAGCTCAGGAGGCCCCCTGGAGGCCTCCCGAGTTCTCCAAGAGGCTTAAAGAGAGGCGCCAAGAGGCCCCAAACGGCCCCAACGAGGCTCCAAGAGGCCACGAAATCGCAAGCAAACGCCTGCGATGGCACAAAACGGGCCGGCGGAATGAGCGAAGCGATTAATAAGACCACGGAAGCAGCGATTAACAACCATATTGTTTATGCCGATAATGTGCACATCCGTCGAGCTTTCAGCGACAGATATCCGACCTCGCGAAGCCCCTCCGATCCTGGGGCTATAAATGGAAGTTGGGATCGTTTGAGTTGGCTTGTATCGGGTGCCCTCCGTGTGACATCTCCATTGTAATACATGACCAGACTGTGCAACTCCCTATAGCGCACAAGCTCAATGTCTTTGGTAAAGATGCTGGCGCGTCGTATCGCGCGCCGCGCGAGGACGTTGCCCGTCGCATTGCCGCTGCGAGAAAAGTTTTCTATGGCCACAGCACCTTGCCTGCCCCGCAGTCTCATGGCACCCTAAGTGTCGAAGATTCGCTGCGCTGGTTCAATCCGCGCTGGTGCATGGGGCCTCGGGCATTACATGGGACAGACACTCACTGCGTGAAATACATGCATTTGAAAGAGTTTGCCTCTTGCGTATGTATGGGGGAAGAAGCCGTCGTCGCAGTCTTGGGCGGCGTGGAGGCCTGCGAGGCTACATCTTGCGCGTTCAGCGTTTCACCGACACGGCTTCCACTCAGCTGTTCAGAGGGTCTTGTCGATGTCGTGGGAGCTGATTCGGGATGTTGCTTCTTGTTTCTCTTCTGATTGGGGCGTTGCTTTTCGAGAACATGTGGCGGATTCTGAGCGGCACCGATTGATGCCGCCAACGGCTGCTGCCTCCTCAGGTGTTTGTGCTCGCGCGTGGCAGGATGCTCGTCGTTTGTTGATGACGTGCCCTCGGGAGTGGGAGGTGGCGGTCTCGGAGTTCAGTAAAGAGTTTTCTGGAGCGAGATCTGCAAGGAGGATCCGCGTTGGAGGAGAGAGTGCAGGAGAGTGTCCTTGGTTCTTTCCATATATTCAGCTTTACAAGGGGTGTAAATGGTGGTGTGACTGCGACTTGTCATATTCTTCGCTTCGTGACTTTAGTGTGCGCTACCTGAGGTTGCGCGGGCTCTCGCGGGCCAACTCTTACTGCGCGACTAAAGGGGTCGAGCATGAGGGCAGGCGGGCGGGGGAGAAGGTGAGCCCCAAGGAGATAATGAGCCAACCAGCGTTGGCTGAACGGGAGCCACTTCGGATGGAGAAACGCATGGCCATCATGTGCGAGCGCGAAGCGGCGCGGGACATTGCAGCCGTGGTGCGGGGTTGCAGTTTGTAGGAGATTCGCTTCTTATGACGCAGTGGGCGAACGGATGTTGGCGTGTCAATAACCATAGATATGCTTACCGTGTGAATGCGCTTATCGAGAAATTTGATGCGTGGTGTGGGGCTCTGGGGTCTCGCCCGTCTTTGTGGGGCCTGCGACTCTTGTTCCCGCGAGCGTCGCGAGCTCAACGGCAGAGCGGACGACGCATTGACACACGATGCGAGGGAGGGTAGCTGCCATTCGTTGTCCTTTGATCCCTTTCGGTCGCAATTCGAAAAAGACCATGTTCACTCAGTTGCGTTCCGCGGTCGCTGTGATGGCGGTGTGAATGAGACGGGTACAGGTGTCGGATATTGGCTTCCACGCATCCAGAGGCTCCGCCTTCCTTTAATCATAAGAGAGCACGCTATCTTGTGTTCCCTACTCCTCATCCGCTCTTCCCTCTTGCCCGCGTGATCCCCTCATTTGGAGGGGCGTCGTGCAGGTGGCGCGCATTCTCCCCCGCAGCTCCACAGTCACTGACGCCGAGCTTTCTGCTCTAGAAAGCCTCGTAGAGGCTGCTGCCAGCTTCCCGGCCCGGGCGGGGCCCAGCGGACCCCTCCACGCCTGCGAAAACAGAAAATTAGCCTGGCGAAGAACCCAACCGTATGCAGTTGTCAGTACCGCAGCTGCGGGTTTCATTTTCAGTGGAACTCCCCATAGGACTACGGAACGTGTGAGGGGTGTGTCGAGATGGGTGCCACTGGGGCATTCGGCGAAGCTCCCTATGGGGACATGAAACACGCGCGGGGCGTGCCGACATGGGTGGCGGAGACGCATGTGAGGGCCGCCACTGGGGCCTCCAGTGGAGCTCCCTATGGGCCCCCGAAGCGCGATGCTGCTGCGGGGGGGGGGGGCCGGGATGCGTGGCGGAGACGCATGTAAGCGCCGCTACTGGGGCCTTCGGCGCAGCTCCCTATGGGGCCACGAAACATGTGAGGGGTGTGCCGAATTGGGTGCGGGTGGTGACGCACGCGGGCGGTGCCACTGGGGGGGCCTTCGGTGGAGCTCCCTATGGGGCCACGAAACCTGTTGCTGTGAGGGGCGTGCCGGGATGGGTGGCGGGGACGCATGTGAGCGCGGCCGCTGGGGCTTTCGGTGGAGCTCCCTATGGGGCCACGGAACGTGTGAGGGCCGTGCCGAATTGGGTGGGTGTGGGCGACGCATGTGAGCGCCGCCACTGGGGCCTCCGGTGGAAGATGGGGCCGCGAAACCTGTGACGGATGTGCCGAAATGGGTGTGCGGGACGCATGCGCATGTGAACGCCGCCACTGGGGCCTTCGGTGGAGCTCCCTATGGGGCCGCGAAACGTGTGAGGGGTGTGCCGAATTGGGTGTGCGTGACGCATGCGGGCGGCAGCACTGGTGCCTTCGGTGGGGCTTCCTATGGGGCCGCGAAACGTGTGAGGGGTGTGCCGAATTGGGTGTGCGGGACGCATGCGGGCGGCAGCACTGGGGCCTTCGGTGGGGCTCCCTTATGGGGCCACGAAACGTGTGAGGGGTGTGCCGAATTGGGTGTGCGGGACGCATGCGGGCGGCAGCACTGGGGCCTTCGGTGGGGCTCCCTATGGGGCCACGAAACGTGTGAGGGGTGTGCCGAATTGGGTGTGCGGGACGCATGCGGGCGGCAGCACTGGGGCCTTCGGTGGGGCTCCCTATGGGGCCACGAAACGTGTGAGGGGTGTGCCGAATTGGGTGTGCGGGACGCATGCGGGCGGCAGCACTGGGGCCTTCGGTGGCAGCACTGGGGCCTTCCTCCCTATGGGGCCACGAAACGTGTGAGGGGTGTGCCGAATTGGGTGTGCGGGACGCATGCGGGCGGCAGCACTGGGGCCTTCGGTGGGGCTCCCTATGGGGCCACGAAACGTGTGAGGGGTGTGCCGACTTGGGTGTGCGGGACGCATGCGGGCGGCAGCACTGGGGCCTTCGGTGGGGCTCCCTATGGGGCCACGAAACGTGTGAGGGGTGCGGGCTGCGGTGGGGCCTTCGGTGATGGGGCCACGAAACCCGTGCGGTGGGGCCTTCGGTGGGCTCCCTATGGGGCCACGAAACGTGTGAGGGGTGTGCCGAATTGGGTGTGCGGGACGCATGCGGGCGGCAGCACTGGGGCCTTCGGTGGGGCTCCCTATGGGGCCACGAAACGTGTGAGGGGTGTGCCGAATTGGGTGTGCGGGACGCATGCGGGCGGCAGCACTGGGGCCTTCGGTGGGGCTCCCTATGGGGCCACGAAACGTGTGAGGGGTGTGCCGAATTGGGTGTGCGGGACGCATGCGGGCGGCAGCACTGGGGCCTTCGGCGGAGCTCCCTATGGGGCCACGAAACGCGCGAGGGGCGCGCCGAAGTGGGCGTGGCCGACGCGGAGGGGGGGGGAGGAGGGGGAGGAGGAGGAAGAGGAGGAGGAGGAGGAGGAACGCGGGGCACCGTCTCTTCAAAACGAGGACCCAACACCACAGGATGGTTGGTAATCAAAACAACCAAGTTTGACTGTTTACCGCCGGCTGCCAGTGCAGCTTGCAAGAGGTAGCGCTCGCAGACTTGCGGCTCTTGGTTCGACCAGAGCTACAGAAGTTCGGGAACAGGGTGGAGCTAGTTGGTCGACCGGGGCGAAAAGAAGAATGCGATACCCGAGGCCGGATTTTCAAATATTAAGAGATTTGAGACTTTTGTGTAGAGTGAAGATTCTTCGCACCCGTAATAGGTTTTGCCATGTTTGCAAATGAAATTCCAGGTCCGTAGCTACAGTGTCACTATCAAATCACTTGGCGGGAACAACTTTGCATTGCACTGAGACAATGCATTTTTGGGGTTGCAAGCTCGTCCTCCAGGAGCTGTCTACTTGCACTCAGAGCACCATTACGCGTGCAAGGAGCCCCCTACGAGAGATGCGCGAATAGTAACCATCCCTCGAAATATTGGAGTTTGGCACCATCGGGCGTCGCAGCAGCGCCAGATGCTCCGCGCCGCCGGTCGAAGCCGCCCAGTTCGGGCGGCTACCTCTTGCCTGGAGCAGGACGCGCGCGGCCGGCGTCGGGCGGGCGGCGCCCACTCGGCAGCTTTCCCAGATAGGCCTATTTCAGGAGGAGAAGAAACACACAGACACAATGAATCGTC